ATATCCTTGTTTTCCAAATCTTTCATTTTGCTTCCTTCTTCCACACATTCAAAGGATCCAATGTTGGATAGATCATTTCCATCTAAACAAATTGTTGTTTTCTTTGCTCTCTTGCCAAAACCTAACTTGACCTTCATTTTTTTAGTTTCTTTCATGGCTTTGTCTGCAACCGATTCAGATTCTTCAATATTTTTATTTTCATTTCCTGCAGCAGAATGAATGCTGCCATCTGATACTGCAGTATCACCGTTATGGAAAAGATGGTGGAAATCTTTTGCTTCTGCAGGAAACATGTCAAGCTTTAACCTGGGTTGCCTCAGGCCTGAGCAGTGTAATAATTTCTTTAGACTGCTGCAATTATGCAATTTTACTACTGGATTTTTTCCTTTTGGGGAGCAAGAAGAGTTCGCAGTTGAGCACATATCAGTTGCTTCTTCAGAAAGTGAATTCTGCATACACATGCCATCTTTGTCCATACAACTCGCAGAATTAGAAAGCAATTTTAATCTAGAAGCTTGACTTGTATGGTCTACAACAAGGCTTCCAGGTCCACTGCTCAACTTTCCTTGAGAAAAAACAAAACAGAAAATCATAAATCTGGAGAACTTGCACAAAATCCATGACGGCGTAATTTAATATTTTCATGTATGATCCAATACCTTACTTTCACAGGTCTGAACAAAGTGCCAATGTATTTTGGCTAAAATAGGGGTATCTATTTGGTTGAAAGGCATAAGGTGACATATATAGATAAAGCATTATATAAATATGCAACAACAACAAATAATTTAAAAAGAAGAACAGTTTTCCAAAAGTTCACAATTTGCACCAAATTCCTAGGGTTTTTTTTATGGCTTGCATGGTGAGGTATGCCCAACCTAGCACGTGACTGATAATCTACACTGCTGTTGAACATATCCATTATTAAAGGACCACTATAGTGCCAGGAAAAAATACTCTTTTTCCTGGCACTATAGTGCCCTGAGGGTGCCCCACACACTCAGGGACCCCTCCCGCCCGCCTCTGGAAAGGGGAAAAGGGGTTAAACTTACCTTTTTCCAGTGCTGGCCGGGGAGCTCTCCTCTTCCGATCCTCCTCCTCTCCGCCCATTCGGCTGAATGTGCACGCGCAGCAAGAGCTGCGCACGCATTCAGCCGGTCGCATAGGAAAGCATTATCAATGCTTTCCTATGGACGCTTGCGTGCTCTCACTGTGATTTTCACAATGAGAATCACGCAAGCGCCTCTAGCGGCTGTCAATGAGACAGCCACTAGAGGCTTTGGGGGAAGGCTTAACCCATTCATAAACATAAACATAGCAGTTTCTCTGAAACTGCTATGTTTATATAAAAAAAAAGGGTTAACCCTAGCTGGACCAGGCACCCAGACCACTTAATTAAGCTGAAGTGGTCGGGGTGCCTAGAGTGGTCCTTTAATGATTTGTGAAAAGTAAGGGTTTGTGTGAGCTTATTCCAATTGTCAACTTTCTACTGAGAAAGCTACATGGTGAAATACAACTCAAACAGATCATGACAGTAAGAACAGCTTAATAGCAGCAAAAATGGAAAAACTGCAGATTAACAAGGAGGGTCGTAAAAAAGGCAGGTTTTATAAACTTTTTTTATATACACATTAATAAAATAAAAAAGACCCCATACACCCTCAGCCCATCTCAAAGTGGTCTGGGTGCAGTGACCATTTAGTTTTAACCCTGCAATGTAAAATATTACAGTTTTGTATAAATTGCAATGTTTCTATTTATCACACCTGACATCCACGAGAGGCTCTTCTCTGTTCTCATTCAAATGCTGCTGCTTTTAAATAGGTAGCAGAGCACTATGGCATCTGGAATTCATGTTTGTACACCTAATGCTATAGTGTTCCTTTAAGAAGAAAAATAATATTTCAATATAATTACCAGGCCAATTTTTAATCCCAGCTATTCTTTTTCAAACAGTCTAGAATTTCACAGAATTTTGTAGTCGTGCCACATATATAAAAAATTATTTTCATTTTAAAGGAACACTCTGGGCACCATAAAGACTTGATTGAAATTAAGCAGTTATGGTGCCAGGAGGCCACTGTCGCAGGCTCACCTTTAGAGGTAAACACAAAGTCTGTATTCCAGTGCAAGATCTCTTTGCCTCTAGCTGAATAGGGCAGTGTCAGCTGACACTCTCAGTCAATCAATGACTCCCCATTTATAAAACTGTCTTAAAAAGGGTACGTTCCTTTTCAAGCCAGTTTTATTAACGAGGAGTCACTCTTAAAAAGTGTATATTCTCAAACATTGTAACCTCTAAAGGCGAGTCAGCGCCAGGGACCTCTTGGCACCATAACTACATTTTGTTGTTATGGTGTCTAAACAGGTCCTTAAAGCAAAGCATAGGTGGCCAAAAGTTAGATTCCCAACTTAATATATATTGCTTTATTCTGATATTATGAATATACATTCTTTTCTCACATCAAGTTTTCCAAAACAACTTTTTCTAAGGGTTACATTCAGAAAAAAAATATTAGCATTTCTGCTAACTGCCTGAACAGTAGAGCATTAAATCTAGAGTCACATCATGAATCATAAGTGAATCTTCTAAAATATCAATCATGCTTCTGTTCAACAATGACTTGATCTTCTAATGCCAGAGGCGATAATCACAAATTAAGACTAAGTCAGTAACTTATAAACTGTTAAATATGGCAGCAATGCCAAAACCTGGAAATAAGACAAGGTGTCCAACATAAACCACAAAATATAATCTTGTGAGACACCAGGAGCAAATATCTAGGAAGGAAAAAAAAAAAAGTAAAATAATTATATATATTACACACACACACACACTACACAAGATCCAGCGCACTCACTTATCCACTAAACAGCAACTTCAATGTTGACAGATTTTATTAGTTTTTTAATCTAGGCAAAAATAATGGGGGTTTAGAATATATATTCAAGAGTATGGACAATATAAGTTAACAAGTTTTTAGTGAGGTGTGTGGGGTTAATTTTAAGCAACAACTTCCTTTGGGATAATGGATGTTTTTACACCCCAATTGGAAGGCAATGCCATGGGGACCAGGTTTACACTGAGTTACGCCAACCTTTTTATGGGCAAGTGGAAAGATGAGTATATTTGAAACCACTGCCCTTTCGGTGCAAACCTGGTCCTATGGAGTAGGGATCGAACAATATTTTTTAGAGCCGATACTGATAATTTATGAACTTTCGTGCCGATAGCTTTTTATTATCGGCATCTTTATTTTCCGATACCGATATTGCCGAAAATACAGAATATCGGCCAGACCGATCATCGGTCGATCTCTACTATGGAGGAGGTTTATCGATGATTGCCTTTTTATTTGAAAGGGTGACTTGGAAGGATTGGAAGCTTTTGAGGAATTTTAATCCATATAATTTGAGATTACATTTTAACCAGTCCAAAGGACACATTGAGTTTTTAGGTCTTAAAATATATATTTCAGAGAAGACCTTACACACGAAAACATTTAAAAAAAATAAGTCGATTGCAAGTTTCATCCCAGCGTATAGCCACCACAAAAATCCTGGCTCAATAACATACCATTTAGCCAGTTTCGAAAAATTAGGAGAAACTGCTCCGAACAAGAATTACAGATGAATGACATGAAAGAACAGTTTTAACAAAGGGCTATTCCGATCGACTGTTTAAGGACAAAAGCTCTGGAAATCCCAAGATAAACTACACCGAAGAAATCCAGCGGAGGTTCATCACTAGGTTTAGTAATCCATGGAGCCAAGTAAAAAAAAAAAAATGTTGTTTGAGATTTGCACCATATTTTGGTTCAAGCAATAACAGGTTCAGGAACAACATTAACATGTTAAACAATACATTCTGATCGATACAAAGGTGAGACATGGTGTACTGAGGCAGCGCGTGTATAGTGGTTCTGGTGGGTTTAGTGTTAGACAAATTGAAAAGTAACATGATTGCGTTAGAATGATGCCATTTGGTAAGGCTCTTTGTGCTGTGCTGGTTTAGGGTGTCTGTATGCTTTAGTGGAGTGAAGCGCATTTTCGTGAGTGATGCATCTAGATGTATCAGTGTTTACGCCTTACTAAGGGTAAGATGTTCTGATGCCAAGTGTTTGGGCGCGTGTTGCGCTGGCTCTCATTGAGTTAACAAGCCTGGGCTCCTTATGAGATAGGAGGAATGAAACATTGACCTGTGGTGGAAGAACATATATAATGAGAAAAAAATTAAACATTAGGTACTCAAAATGAAAGGTATGCAACAGTTATTTTAGCAAATAAGGTGCAAACAGAAGTAGAACCAAATATAAGGACACTCTATAGGCACACCCCAATCGCCTATAAAAACCAAATGCAAAAAGGAGATGGGTATATACCCACCAAATGAGGGCGCTAAACACTAGAGAAACAGTGTTATAAAGGAAGTGCAGTAAGATAAAAATATCGAGACTTTTATTCTGCAGCAATGTAATATAAATAAATTGTACAAATATATATAGCGAAATATGGTAAAATATAGGAAACAATATCTACAACAGCATAGGGCAGTTCTATTATAAGACCAGGGAACAAGTGCCCGGCACCCACCACTCAGCTAATAAACAGATAGCAAACACAGCCCTTGGGCATTTTTAATACATGTAACTGCTACTTACGTAGCTTCTGTGTTACAATGTATCGGATGCTAATAAAGTTTTATGCGCATCAATCTGGCCACGTATGCGCACTGGAAATTTCCCGTTAGCAATTAGTTCAGGACCCACAGGTGTGTGTTCCTGTAGCCAGCTTGACGGAAGTAGGTGCCCGTGTGCGCATGCGTCATAGCTAGATTAGGCGCGACGTTTAAAAGATAAAAGAAGAAATGCCAGAAAAGGCAGATCGCCCACAGCTTCTGAGGAAGTCCCGAATAACGCAGGACGAAACGCGCAGAGCCATTTGTCCAGCAGTCCAGAGACCTCACTATCACCACCATCCGAGCTGCAAGTATATCCCAGCTCTGGGGGTCGCGACCAAGGGCTGTGTTTGCTGTTTACTTGTTAGCTGAGTGGTTGGTGCTGGGCACTTGTTCCCTGGTCTTATAATAGAACTGCCCTATGCTGTTATATTTATATTCTATTTCACTATATATATATTTGTACAATTTATTTATATTACATTGCTGTAGAATAAAAGTCTTGATACTTTTATCTTACTGCACTTCCTTTATAGCACTGTTTCTCTAGTGTTTAGCGCCCTCATTTGGTGGGTATATACCCAGCTCCTTTTTGTATTTAGTTATGTTAGCAAAACTTATGGTATCAGTCCACACCGCTCATGGTACAGGGTGTTGTGATCCGCTGGGTCTTGGTTCAAAAGGGATGGTGCTCCTGGGGTCCCATGCCGCAATATGAGGGCTCCCCTGTTGTGTAGCCACAGATGGAACTACCTGTGGTGGGACCGCTGCCTGTTCGTGAATTGCTGTATTATATTCTGTGTGTTTTTCCGTTATTTTCGTATTAAATGTGCCTGCTCCCTGTTCTTGAGTTCCTACACAAAGGGAATGCATTTACCTCCCGAATGGGGACCACCCCGAAAACTCATTTAGAATATTGGTTTAGAACGTTCGCACCTTGTAATAAGGTCTCAAAACCACAAACCGCAAGGGAAGCCTCAGCGAGTGTTATATGAACGCCGTCCAGGGGGAGCATTCGCGGATTGGTTCGCCGAAGAGGACGTCCCCAGTGCCCCTTGGAATGTTCGCACCAATCAATTAGAACATTGGCTACTTGCAACAGTAGTGTGAGACCACAAATTAAGTAATTGAGTGCTTCCTTGAGTGGCCGCCGTTCGTATATCCATGCGGCGGCCAGGGGGAGCCTTCTCGTCCAGAAAGGAGGCTCTTCCCTTGCCTGGTTTCACCAAGGGACCCTGCAAACGGAGGTTGTTCGTGGCGGTTACCGTTCTGGTGGTCCCCGAGATTGGAGGGCTATCACTGGGAGTCCATGAGGCCTCATGGGAGGAAGACACCCTGGTCACCGGAGGTGGGAAACCCTGAGGATGGGTGGCTGGAACAGGGGACAAAGGGACTGGGGTTCCGGATCCATTACGACCCCTGGGAAGGGACATAGTTTTTATGTGTGATCCACCCCTTGCATGGGGAAAAGCCGAATGTGGCCAATAAAGTGTTGTTGTACCCCTAGAACGGTTACTGGGTGGGAAATGGGTCTCTCTGTATTTTAACTGACTTCCTTTTAGGGAAGGTTGTGACTGAGCCGGAGTCAACCAACCGGGTTGCTAGCAGGCCCACTAAACTACCCATGTTGTAACCACCGTGGAAGAGCATGAATAGGGGGGATACTCCCTCCATGGAGGTTACAACACGTGTAGTTCTATCATGGGTTACCTCTAGAGGCCCGTTAGCGCCCCACCTGTAGGCTATGCCTGCTGAGCGTAGCTGTGTGGTGAGCGGTCCATAAGATTTGAGCCACAGGAGGGTGGCTTTCGATAGGTCTTGGAAGAACGTTCGTGAGGAGTTCTCGAATATCAATGGTGTCTTGCCTTTCAAACCCGCCATTATGTGTAGCTTGTCTTGCACTGTGACACAACTGAGGATGACATCTCTGTTAGGGTCTTTAGGTGGGGAGAGCCAAGCAGGCAGCATATCCCATCAATGATAATTTTCTTTGCCACTGCGTGGGGAAGTACTGCAGTTAGAATGCGCCTGATGTAATGTGGCAGTTCTTCAGCTGATAGCGCCATGGGGATGCCCCTGTGCGAGTGGCGTTGCCGGTCTTCCGTGGCTGTCATGATTTGATTGACAAATATGTTTGTTGTTGCTGGATTTGTTTGATAGATTCTTCCATCGTGTTTATGTGAGCGTGGACTGTCACCACTTCTTCTGTGGCTCTCACCCTTTCCGTGACTGTGCGTAGTTCAGTCTTGAAGAGGGCTGAGTCAGTTGCCAGGAGTTTCTGGATGTCTGCTAAGAGGATTTTTAGGTTGCGCTTGGTAGTTGGAGCAGAGTCATCCAAGGACTCCGGTGGTGGTGGCTGCAGTGCTTGCGAGTGCCCGTGTGAGTCAGGCTGTAGTGCCCGGAGGTGCCCCAGCGAGTCAGAGGTTTGCTGTGCCAGGATGTGGGGTGCTTAGAGAGGACAAGCGCTTGCTGCACTGTATTTTGTGCCCTGTCCAGCTGTCTTCTCTGAAGGTGCCCAGATGAATCTAATCTCTGCTGAGCTGTAATGGGTGCCTGGACAGTCTCCGGCGATGCTGCCGCGGGTGCAGGCTTTGACTGTGCGGGCCTCTGCAGCATAGTCCCTGTCTCGAGTCGTATCTTGGGGTTTTTGGGAGTGGCAGCCAATAGCTGGCATTTGAGCAAGGGTGTTTGGTAGATCCGGAGAGTGAGTAGTGTCGATTTGCTGTTCTGGATGTACGCACAAGATTTCCTCGAGGCCTAGTATCGATGGCGTGTGGTAGGCCCCCTTGCGTCTCCATTTCTGCAGCTTTTGTGGCTGTAAGAATGGCATCGGACGATGCGGTTTACTGCGTTGATGCACACTGGGTATGTGGCAAGGCTGGATGGATGCAGGAAAATACGATATTTAATGGATTTAGTCCAAAAGATTTGGGAGCTGATAGAAATGGTGTCCATACAGGTCAGGTAGCAAGCTCCGCCCCCTTTATTCTTATTTTTAATTTGCTACCTTTATTTCCATTGCCATCTTTTTTATATTTTTAAACTTTTTAAAAAAATCTGTTTGAGTGTGTAATATGTGAGTGAATACTGACATTGTTTTTAAAGCAAGTTTTACTAAGATTTTCTAATTCAGTTTTTTTTTTAGCCTTTTCTTAAATTCATTGTCATTTTATAGCTTCTATCTCTTTAAAAGAACATTGAGATTATTGCCTCAAATTGTTTAAAACAGATTAGTAGACCAAGACATACAACTCCCACAGGATAGGTTGAATTCAGCCTCTGATGAAGTTGCCAAATGTGCCATGAAACGTGTAAAGCAGGACGTTAAACTACGTCAGTCAGAACAGGGCATCTCATCCACGTCAGTTAAGACGCCCGGTCTGGTACTGGAGACATTATCACACAAGCGGCAGCAAGATATATACCCTACAGGGCTTCCCCTTGTGCCGATTGGGTAAGCTGGAAAGAAACCCTCTGAGTTTTGGCCAGAGTATCTCCAAAACGTCATTCACTGCCTCCCCAGAGCCGGCATTGGGCAGGAGAGTGAGCAATCAAGGTTTTTTTTTTGGGGGGGGGGGGGCGTTCCCCTTCACAGTCATCCCCCCATGTGACTCTGGTGAACGGTCTACCATTTACTGTATACCATTATTGTATACAGTATTTTCACACACAACTGCAGCTTTTATTTGTTTTTTTGATGCCAAAGACTGTTTTAGATGGATACAGGTCTTGGTTTTGCCATTTGAGACTATTTGCTCTGTGGGACAATTGGATTGTAATATTTCATTGAGAGACTATGTGTGTTCCAGTATTCCCATGTGTGGCTGCTTTGTGCTTTGATATATTGTGTGTGTGTTTTTTATTCATTTTGCTTAGTCAATAGATGTATTGTTTTTGGGGGGGTGTGGTTTGACCGCCGATCGAGATGGCCACCTAAAAACAAAGCTCCGCACCTGAGACTCATAATATTGCCCTGCAAACAGCTACAACCACAGAGAAACAATATAAAATCTGATCCAGGCACAGCCCGAGCGGGACCCTTGTACCTACCACGGATGCCCGGCCGTAAATCGGCCAAACACAGCCAAAGGGAGGTCATCTCAGTAGCAGACATGCTGACCACGAAGAGGCCTGCAGCACGTGGCGCCCAAGCAGACCAGACCCCTAAACAAACAGAGGCAGACGACCCAACAAGGATGATAGGGAATCTCCCTGACACCTCTAACGCCACCATACTACAATCACTAATGGAGGTGAAGGGATTTCTAGCGGCAGAAATTGTGCGCACGGCAACGGAAGTCAAGGCCGGAATAACCGCCATCGGGGCCCGCACCACCGTGGTCGAGCAGTGCCTGGCCCGCCCAGTCACAACTCAGAACAGCTCCGCAACTCTTACCAACACCCTAAGGCACCGGATCACAGATCTGGAAATAGAACTCTAAGACATCTCCAATAGAGCACTCCGCAACAACCTGCGCATCCGCGGCCTGCCTGAAACGGTCAGCTACGCGAACCTGGAAACTGCCCTAGTGAACTGCCTCCGCAAATATCTACCCGACATACCTGAACACCTCTGGATAATCGACAGAGCTCTCCGGACCAAGGGCCCTGATAACAGCCCTCCCAGGGACGTGGTTATAAAATGGCAATGACGAAAAGATTGGAAACCGATTACAGACCTCTTACATGAGAAAGGCATTCGCTTTGCATGGGGCTACCCATTCAAAATCATCATATTCAATGGCCACAAACCCTTGATATTACTGCCCTCTATGGACATAAAGGCATTCCTAACAGGCCTCGACATGACCCCTGCAGATCTACAACGCCCCCTACCAACCATGAGGGACTACCTCTGCTACCCGAGGCCTGGGCAGACCATCACTTCAGCGCAACCTGAGTCAGGTGATGGTGTCCTGAAGCTGGGAACTGGCCGGGATCCGGACCCACACGCAAGCGATTTTTAAAATATGTTTAATTTAAGTTTTAATATGTTTTAGTGTAACGAACTCCACTGGCTGAACGGACAATCTGTATAGCTGGACTAAGGAATGGTTCTTAAAAGGGCACGAAACATTGCAGATGGCGGGATGGGACAGGTGGGAAAGGTATTCACAATAACCTGATGTGCATTAATGTATGTGTGAAGGCTGGGAGTGACGGGTCGTGCCCCGACCGAGGTTTGAGTACAGACTTGAGCACATGTGGAGCCTGCAATTAATTTTTTTAACAAAAATAGGAAAAGGGGCGCACGGAAATAGCAGGAAGCAAATGGCTCCACAATATGGCTGTGGCTGGGGGAATGCAAGAGAGGGACTGTAATATAGCCAGGGACTAGAGGTAAACGCCCCCCCCCCCATCACCAAGGCACCAGACTTGCAAAAAATAATGTACGCCTGTGGCGCTCCCCCCCGCGACACTCACACGAAGCCTAAATGAGACATACTGACCCCACAATAGCTGAACCTAATATACTGGACGGTGAGCCCTAAAAAAAAAAAAAGAAAAAGACATACTGCGAAACCAAAACTTCTAATAAACATTTATAACACCAAAAAAAAAAAAAAAGACAAAAAACAAACAAAAAAAACTCTTAAATACCCAGGACGCGGTGACACGACAAGCCAGAAGGGACGCTGCACGTGCCTTTCTTGGTCTCTACCCGCCACCCCCCCACAAAACCCTCAGATCAGCAAAGTAACAGTGCCGATTGTATTGAGATGGCTGTTTAGAGATTGTTGCTTTAAGATAAATATGAGTCTTGACAGGGTGCATGGCAGCCGAGCCTCCGCCCCACTAGAGGAGATCCTCTCAGCGTGGTGGACGCGCGCCCCCCATAGCTCCTGGCGACTAGTAAGACCCGGAATTGTTAAATAGACCCTCCACAGAGGTGGCCATTTTGTTAACCTGTTCATCAGCAAAGTACTAACTTGTATATTTGTACCTTGTCTTCTCCCAGGTAGTAGACAACCTATCACCTACTACCTCTACTCCTTTTTCTCTCTTTCTTGCTTCCACCTGCCCCCCACCCTCTTCCCCCTTCCTCTCACTACCCCTTGGAGGAACTGTTACACCACCAAAGAAGAGGCGAACGAGGCAGACACTAGTGACCGCACTCCAGACCCCAAACAGGCAAAACGAGTTCAGTGTAAGTACATCTACACCCTATACAACGACACGACATTGACCTCCACCAGACTTCACTGAATGCCAACGGACTTAATGCCCCCAACAAACGTAGGCTTCTCCTACAGGAAATTCACAGACAAAAGGCTGATATAGCATTCATACAGGAATCCCACATCCCACGCACCTCTAAGCTACAATTAATAAACCACATTTACACAAGAACATACGCTTCACGAGCATCCTAATAAAAAAAAAAAAAACGGAGTAGAAATACTCCTACACAAAAGATGCCCTATCCAAATCACGGGGGTCCAAACAGACACAGAAGGCCGGTACGTGGCACTCTCGGGCACAATGCACGCTAACACTTACCACCTTATCAATGTGTATGCCCCAAACACCCCTACCCTACCCTAAATCAGACGGCTACTCAGGGAACTGATGATAGATAACATCAGCAAAGAACTAATGAGGACGAAACAACTTTTCTACAAAAAGTCTAATAAAATGGACACGCTCCTTGCGAGAGCCCTTACTAATGCCCCTTCATTGACCGCGATAAGGAACAAACAGGGACAGATCCTCACAGACATCACGCTTATCCCCAAACCAGATAGAGACGCAACCCTAATAGCCAACTACCGCCCCATATCCCTCAAACTTCGACGTGAAGGTATATGCCAAAATATTGGCAAATAGACTGAACCCCCTCCTTACGAAATACATACACGCAGACTAAGTGGGCTTTGTGCCGACCAGACAATTGTACAAAAACACGCGGAGGGCGACTGATCTCATGTGGTTGGCGGGAAAGACCCAAGGACCTTCTCTGGTCCTTTCCCTGGACGCGGAAAAGGCATTTGATAGAGTCCAGTGGCACTATATGTTTGCCCTACTAAGAAAACTACAAATACCAGACTTTTTTTATAACAGCAGTGAAAGCCTTCTACAACAATCCCAGAGCACAAACAGTAATACAGGGTGCACTGCTGCGCCCCTTTGAACTCACAAACTGAACACGACAAGGCTGTCCTCTGTCGCCCCTCCTGTTCATTCTGGCCCTAGAACCATTATTACACCTAATAAGATCCCACCCACAGATAACAGGTATGAAGATAGCAACAGAAGAATTCAAAGTCTCTGCATATGCGGATGACATCCTGCTTACCCTCACTAACTCAACCCTCTCGATCCCGACCCTACTTACACTACTATAAATGTACAATCAGGTTTTGGGCTACAAGATCAATCTAGACAAATCGGTGGGCATACCAATTGGAATGACGGAAGCAGACGTTACATGGATAAAACACAAGACCATTCTACACATAAGCTCCCGACCCATCAAATATCTAGGAGTCAAACTAACAATAGACCCCAAAGATCTATACGCAGAAAACCATCAGCGCATCATAAATATCCTCTTGAAAGACTTGGACAAATGGCACGAAAAACCAATATCATGGATAGGGAGGTTACATAGCGTTAAAATGAACCTCCTTCCACGCCTCCTTTTTCTGTTCCAAGCCTTGCCAATAAAAGTCACTAAAGGATACCTAAGAGTCCTACAGACAGCGATAGACAAGTTCATTTGGGCTAGAAAGAGACATAGAATAGCACAACAGACACCCCTAAGAGCAGGGGAGGACTGGGACTCCCCAACCTCTACCTTTACTACCTCTCAGCCCAACTTGCACAATTCATAGAATGGCACTCACCACCAGACACTCACAGATGGGCAGATATAGAAACCCTAATTATGAACACAGATCTTCCACAATTCTGGATTTGGCTACCAAGAGCCGACAGACTCAGTGGCACACAAATACGCCCTGACACACCCAATCTCACCCTTGGCCCCGTATCTCAGCAATAAAGCATTCACACTAGGATTAGCTGCTTGGGACTTCCGAAACATAGAAAACACAGGCATACAATGATATCACCAACTATATCACGCAAGCAAAATCAAAACATCTAAAAACAATGTTCCCACTAACCACGAAAGACTATTTTTGGTACATGCAACTATGGGACTTTGCCACAAAAATACAAGTTCGGTCAGCAGCTATGGTCAAGCCAACCTTTTACGAAACGCTGTGCGTCACGGAAGGACCACGTACCGGCCTCATCACGCTTCTATACAGACAATTAAGCGCACCAACAGACGAAACACAGAGACCTACATATGTAGCGCAATGGGAGGTAGAACTACAACAACCACTAGAGAGCAGGGAGTGGCAAGATATTTGGGAAGCAGCAGCTAAAGCCTCCATTTGCGTACTATATCAGGAACAATGTTACAAAACACTAATGAGGTTGCACACAACACCAGTTAAACAACGTAGGATGGGTAAAACAACTACAGACACCTGCTGGAGAGAATGTAGAGACAAGGGTACATACCTCCACATGTGGTGGACGTGCCCTAAGGAGAAAAGCTTCTGGGAAAATATAGCTAAACTCCTGTCAGAGATACTTCATAAAAATATCCAACCGGACCCACGGGCATTTCTAATAGCGAGACCATTAGACGACTTGACAAACAGAGAACAAAAGCTATTCAACAAGATAAACTTGGCTGCCAGAAGGGCCATGGCACAGACGTGGCTGCACACAGACATGCCACACATAGACAAGGTGACCCACAACATAAAAGATGCTCACCTCATGGACAAACTGACTACGCAAATCAGAGATACTTATCCGACATTCCTTAAAATCTGGGAACCCTGGGAAGACTACACCAACCGCTGAAAGAGACAAATCCATAGTGATACGACTCAAAAACACCTGACTCGCTTAGACCAAATGCAACAACGGCCACCACCACCCTTGAAGATCCTCCTCCTCCCTGACGACACCACTACCACCTCTGTTCACTCCCCCATCTTACTCTTACTTATCCTCTCCTTCTCAACTTTCTTCTCAAAAAGTAAAAATTCATGCAGCAAATAAAAACGACTGCTGATAAGATACAGATATAGAGAGGCAGCCAACAGATACAGGGCACCCCAAGGCAGTTAACGCAAAGCAGGGTTGCCCCATTACCAGAGAACCAGGCTTATTTACTATTTTCAAACAGATCAGCAGTGTTTCACATTTGCATTAAAATACTTGTGATTGGTTGAGTATGCATTTCTAGGTCTGTGTTAGGTATCATTAACAGATGCAGAAAAAAATAATAATACATGGTAATGGGAAAATAATCTAATACTGATACAATATGAATGTGAAAAAGCATGAATCTATATATGCAGTATTCAACTTTTCACTAAAAGAATAAAATTAGATTGACTCCTAAATATAAGAC